GTAAAGATAAATGTTTTTACCTGACAGTTATACCACAGGTAGACTGTCCAGTAAGTTGAGAAGAGTGAATTGATAGTTGATATACTTGTTTTTAAAATTAAATTAATCCTGGATAAGAGTTGCTTTTTTTAGAAGTTAGTCCTTGACCACTAGTTTGGTACCATCTCCCTTTGGGTGACCTGTTTACCAGCAGGCCTGTTACTCTCCATGACTAACTGTGTAAGTGCTTACAATGGAATAAATTGCTTTTCTACAGAGCCCCATGCTGATGGGTTTTATTTAGTATATAACATTCATCAAACACCAGTCTCTGGCTTCTAGATTTCAAGTGACAGTTACTTTCCATGATCTTTGACTATCAAGAACAGAGTTAAATATAATGGGCCTAGAGCTATAAAAAAGAGCTTTACTTTCAGGAAGTGAAAGACAAAACACTGAATAAGAAGTGCTTGGATTATATTCTTTGATAAAAACATCTTTTGAAGGCTGTTGTCCAGTCCTTCCCTAAAAAAATTGACATGAACTTTCAAGAATGTCAAAGGCAGCGTGGTAGAGAGAATTTAAGGCAGAATCTTAAATTTAGGAAAGGTGTGTGAACCTTTTCCCAAAGAGATTCAAATTCCCCAGTATGTTTTCCTCTACAATCTGTTCTTGTAGGTTAGAATTAATAGATGGACTCTCAAACTTGATCACCAAGCACCATAATTGGATGAAATGCTGGTTCTTTGCCAATCACATAATTTTTTTGTTTTTTAACCAAATAAACCACTCTCTTATTTTAATAAAGGGTAAGACCTTTATGAAAATCTAAATAGCCTTGACCCTTAAGTTAAAATCTGAACTACTCTCTTTTCATGTCAGTAATGAAAATTATCTGGACATAAGAGTGAACCTTGTGAGTCAGTATAACCTTTTAGAAAACACAAACTTTGTAAAAGGATCCATTTAAAACCTAACACTCATAGCACAAAATAATTCAAATTGTAAACCTATGTAATGAAAATCAGCTGCCTTTTTGACTCCATCTGTGCCCTTTCCCATCCACCCATCCCAAAAAAGTTTTTTATTTGGGTCAACATAGGCAGGGTATATTCTTCACAACACTGCAAGGTGTGTCCGTATATTCATCCTTTACGCATTGTGCAGATGAGGACTGCTTCTGGAGGGCAGGAGGTTCATTTTCTATTCCTTAGTGCATTGGGAATCAGTACCAGCAGCCTATGAAATAGAATCCCACTGTGGATGACCAGTATTCTGCTTCCAGCCAACACCAGAATCTTTTTTAATACATCAGCCCGTATTTGTAGTTTTCACAGGACAAATTGCTTGCCAAGTCCCTGGCACTCTCTTGTCCAGAAGAACGTTATGTCCAGAGGGTACTTAGTTATCCTTTGCTTAAGAAGGTTTTGTTTTGTTTTTCTAGGTTACAGATTTGGCCATAGATTTCTAAACAGCCCCTGTAAGGGTGGGGGGATGGAAAAAGATTAAATTTATACTTTCTGCAACTTGAAATGATAAAGTATAAAGTTTATAGCAAACATCTGAAGTTAGTGTGAGCCACGTTGGGGAGGATTTATATGAAGTCTGATTTAAGGATAACTTTCCCCACTAAATATTTGAGTGCCTCTTATTTATAAGACAGTAAATGGTAACCTATGTAATTGTGATGGGCGGGATCTAGCTAAAAATGTATCTGCCCAGGTTAACTTCATACAGATACTATAATGCCTGAAATTCTGTAATTTCATTTCTTTGGATTAATCATTGCCTTTTCCCTGTTGTATTTTTTATCATATCCATACTTAACAGTTTATATTTCTTAATTACAAGCTTCTAGTCATCTTCCAAGCAAGTGTAAACACAGTAAAAGGAAATCCAAGTAAATGAGGAAAAGCATCAGTTATAATACTTTTGAATTTGTATTTAAGATGTAAGTTTCAATGGGAAGTTAAAAATAAAGTTTATGGGTATATCTATGTAGTATACAACTTGACACAAGACTTTCTTTTAATCTTAGTATCTTTTCCTAAGGTGGAATCTAGAGAACATGTGACAACATAATTGTTAAAACATTGGATTAAGGGGTCATCAACTGAGTGTTTTTTTTTTTTTATTATATTAACTGAATGTATGAAGGTGATAAATTGACTTTTTTTAAAAAGGCAAAGTGTGTATGTGGCATCAAAGTGGGAGGTTAGTCATTGCTTCTCTGAATAGTTCATTGGTCAAAAAGATGCTTTTAGATTTGCCAGCTATTCCCTAGAAATATGAACCATGCATTTTGATAACTTGTCATTAGACACACTGTTTTAGACAAAAATTTCAAAAGGCATTAGTATTAGGAAATTAGGAAAGCAGTAAAGATGCAAATACCACTCTTCTACCGCAGCAAGGATCACCTTGAGACTGTGTGTCTGTTCCACCTGTCTGAGAAGTAGGAGCCTCAGGCTGTTCCAGGCTCTTGGGTAGCATAGCCCTTTAAAAAAAGAGAGCCATTTTCCATCTGTTTATGGAAGAACACAATTTGACATCATTTCCCTTGAGTGATGTCTATCCTCTCTACCATCCCACCCCCCTCAACCAGAGTTAGATGAGATTTGGATGGCAGCAAAAACTGACTTATAAGTTGAGAGCTCTTCAGCAAGGCTGATCCTTAGTTGCTCCATCTCTTTGTTCTTCTGCTGCTGGAGTTGCACCCCACTTCTCAACTGCCTCTGTCGTTCTTCCATCTCCTCCAGCTGTTCCTGAATGAGAGGGTCAAGCACATTTCTAATGAGCTAAACAATAAAAGTATGATGTTGTATCATTAAAAAGTATCATTAAAAAGTGCTTTCTTGCATTGTTGTTATGGAGTCGGTTCCGACTCATAGGGACCCTGTACAGGATTTTCGAGGCTGTAAATCTTTACAGGAGCAGAAAGGCTCATCTTTCTCCCATGGAACAGCTGGTAGTTTCAAACTGCTGACCGTGAGGTTCACAGCCCAATTTGTAACCACTACGCTACCAGAGCTCCTTGCATATATAGCCCATATTTAATCTTCACAACAACATTGAGGCTGGTATTTTCTTTATTTGATAGATTAGGAAACAGATTCAAAGAGGTTAAATGTCTTGACAAGGTGACATTGCTTTTGAAAATGTGATGTGAAAAGACTTTAATCTGTTAAAACACCACTCTTAATGGAGTCCTGGAAAGGGTGTGCACATACTCTCACAATCCAGAAATGTTGGGAAGGATTTGGATTTCAGTTGTGGAGCATGGGTTTCATATACTTCTCCATCTATGAGAGAGCTTAAAGCCCCCTCATATATGCAAATTTGTTTCAGTTAAGATAATCCGTTTTTGATCATCGTAACACTGATGTTGGGAATAAAACTATGGAGTTTTTTTTTTTTTTTTAAGATGGGTAAATTTCTAGAAGAGTTGGACAACTAATTTTCTATCTAGAAAATACTTGGTTTTGTTTCCAAGAAAATCTGTTAATAATTGAATTTATCTGTTTATTTTTGCACAAAAAGACTATGAATTTGTTAATTAGTATTCTTAAATTGGAAAAAGAAAATGCTTTGCTCAGGAGCCTTCTGCTGAGATCAGGGTGGGATGCATTGTATACATTGTCCCTGCCTAGTATTAACGTCTGAGGGATGTTGGCGTTAGATGCTAGTTGGCATGAATCCTTGAGGAAGCAGCTGGGAGTTGTGGAGGAGAACAAACTTTTTGAAGTTCCTTCATGTATTTAAGGGTCAGTGAGTTCGCTTCAGATTTTGAGGGATAATACAGGAATCCAGTTTGTGTGCATGCTATTATTAGAAGAAGACCTAAATAATTTGTTCTCAGTTATCCTTGGTGTACTGTACCTTGGTACTGCACATCAGCTTTCCAGTGCTTGATACTCTCTGGCTGAACCTTAACTTTAATCAACTTGGTCAAAAAGGTTTTTTGTTTTGTTTTTTTTGTTTTTTTTTTGGTGCCCTGCCATGTTTTGTCACCACACACAGAGAGAGGCAGCTCACCACATGAAAGTGAACATCTATGCCCCAATTTCCCAAACCTATTATTTTGGTTAGTCATATAAGTATATGCTCGGGAAGGCTATCTGTACCCTTGGTTAGTGTTGATTAGTTCTAGACAGGTTGAAATGTTTCACTGGAATGAAAGAATTGCTATGCTAACCATGAGAACTTCCTGTCTATTCAATTCTATGTAGTACTACTAGATGGATTGTCCCCAAACATTATTTCAGAAGCTTTTTGTTTTGTTTAGCTTGATATTCAGATCCCTTTAATTTGACCTCTAACTTGAGCCTCCCTGTTCTTTCACATGAACTTTTTTTCCAGTCTGCACAAAACCGTACAGAAGCCACTGGCCACATGTGGACTATTGAGCACTTGAAATATGTATGATTAATCCCAATAGACATCTGCTATAAGTATAAAATATACAGCAGACTTCTGAAACAGCACCAAAAAATTTAAATATCTTAATTATTTTGGTAAGGTTGTTTTGTTTTTGATGGCTTAAATATAATTAAATCTCACTGGTTTCTTTTTACCTTTTTTTAATGTGATTACTAGAAAAACTAAAATGACACTTGTGGCTTACCACTTTTTTTTTTTTTTTTTTTACTGGATGGTACTACTCTAACCTGTCCAACTTACAGATCTGAGTTTGCTCCTGCCACTTCTCTCACCCAGACAGCCTGCCCTTGGTTTTCTGCCCACCTCCAACCACATCCTACCCATCATTCAAGGGCCAGTGCATGTTAGTCTTCAGTGTCTCCCAGTACAAAATCATGCCTTCCTTTCATCTTAGCACTTCTTATTGGCAATATTCCTAGTTTTCGTTTCCTACTTGAATACTGCGTAGGCCAGAGACAAAAAGTAGCAGTCTCCACTCTTGAGCAAGGGAAACAAAGCAATGATATGGTATGATAAGTGCTTAAGTGTCATTGAGTTGGTTCCAACTTGGCGACTGTATAGGAACAGCTGGTGGGTTTGAACTGCTGACCTTGTGGTTAAAACTCCAGTGATGAGTTAAGTGTCATTGAATCAATTCTGACTCATAGTGACCTTGTATAGGGTTTCCAAGGCTATAACTCTTTACAGGAGCACAAAGTCTCTTTCTCCTGCAGAACAGCTGGTAGTTTCAAACTGCTGACCCTGCAGTTAGCAGCCCAACTCAACAACCACTACACCAGAGCCTTCTTAGTGAGTTGTTAAGTGCCGTCGAGTCAGTTCTGACCCATAGCAACCCTGTCTAGGGTTTCAAGCTAGTGAGCTTGAAACACCAACTTTGGGCTTCAAATCAAATTTGCAGTCCAGTGCATTAGCCCACAGCGCCACACCAGGAGTAGGAGTTAGTTTTAAATTGGAGAGGGGAGACGAGGAGGGAATGAGTTCTGGTCAAATGTATAGACATAGAATTAGGAAAAGTGGCTCATTTGAACTGCAGGTTACATGGACGCCATACTACCATTAAACTACCCATTCAAGTGCCTGGATCTAAGCAGTCAGGCCTGATTAGTATTTGAATGGGAGAACTGCAGGTAATTGGGACAGCTAGAGCAAGAGCAGCTGTGAGGAGGTGAAGGGAGAAGACAGTTGGCATCTGCTCCATTTGATTGCTATTTGTCCTTCTATTCATACTTAGGAGTCCTGGTGTGGCACTGTTGGTTAATGCGCTGGACTGCAAAGTCCGTTTGAACCATAAGGTTCACCAGCTGCTCCTCAGAAACCCTATACAGGATCACTATGGGTAGGAATTGACTCAGCAGTATTTATTTAAAAACAGCATTCATATCTAACTTCCCATCATAGACCCCAAGTTGTTAGGATGTTCTTTGCCCTACACAAAATGCTTGTTGATTCAGATAGCATATTCCCCACTTAACTAGCATCAGGAATCTACCCATCTCAAGCTAAAAATCTTAGGGTCATTCTCAAAGAAATCCCTCAATTCACTGTAACCAGTCACCAAAAAGGATCTCTGATAGCATAGTGGTTACGAGTGGAGCTATTAACCCCACGATCAGCAGTTTGAAACTACCAGCTGTTTTGCGGGAGAAAGATGAGGCTTTCTGCTCCTATAAAGATTTACAGCCTCGGAAACCCTATGCAGGGTTACTGTGAATCGGAAATGACTCCATGACACCACCAGTCACCAAAACCCCTACTGGTTTTACCTCAGAAATCATGCATAATCTTTTCCTCAAGATCTATGTGATTTTTCCAGGCTCTCAATCCACCTACATCACCATCTAAATAATGCCAGGTTCCACTCTAAGTGTAAGTACTAACTTGATTCCTTGCAACAGCCCTATGAGGGGATAATGTTATTCATCCCATCTTACATGTAAGGAAACTGAACCAATTTCATTGATTCTAGGATAGCTTTCACATTTTTAACATCTCCAAATTAGGGTGCATCTTAAAACCAACAATAGCTTAGATTGTAAATAAAAACATGTTCCTTTTATCTGGTATCCTTTTAGACTGCAAACTGAGGGCAGGAACCCCAACTTTCTCATCTCTGTTTTGTCAACACTTAGCTCACTGCTTGGCACAAAGTAAGTAGGCTGTTAGAATATTCTCTTGGTGATTGAATGATGATGGTGAAGAAAGGCAAAGTTTGCAAATGGTAAGAGTGGCGCACAGCCTAAAGATTATAGGGGCACCATTGACAGATACCATAGGTGACCTTTGGCAAACCTTTTTCAATATGGAACTCGATCTTTCAGACCTTGATTCCTACCTTAATTATGGTATACAGCAATAGGATAAGTTCATATCAAGACTTTCATACAACAATCTTTGGACTAAAACCCAGTATACTGGTGAAAATCATTAGGGGAAGTAATAATTTTCAAACTTCTCTGGTATTATATCAGAAGACACTAACCCCAGAGAATTCCTTGTTTATGCCACCACCATCCTAGTTAGCAATCCCTGATACCTCAACATCCTCTTACCTCCCTGCCCTGTTCATTCAATTGCCAAATTGCTTTTTCTGCGATTATATTCTTCCTTTTCTATTCCCACTGCCATCACTGTAACTCTTAGCTACAGTTTTCTCTAATCAAAGTTTGAGCTCCCTAGTTTCCCTAATTTTACAGTTTCTCCCCTTCCACATGCAACCAAGTTAATTTTCTGAACATGCTTTGTAATGATCCTTCCAGGAGACCTGTGTATCTGGTTCCCCTATCTCTAAATGCCCTGATCTGCACTGTCCAAGAAGTCACTACAAGTGGTTGTTGGTAGCACTTGAAATTGTTGCTGTCCATATACAGATAAGCTGCAAATGTAAAATACCAGATTTCAGAGTTAGTGAAAAAAGAGTGTAAAATAGGTAATAACTTTGGTTTAACTCATGGCTAAAAATAATCCTGATTTTTCCAAGCATACTTTTAATCCTTCTGATTTTTCAAACATACTCTTACCAATACCGCTCTTGAATCACATACTGCCTTCTACTTTGAGTTATTAAGACAATGTCTATTTGAATATGAGCTCTTTGGGACAGCATTTACTAAATAAACCCATAAGCAGTCAATTTAAGTTTATCCAGAGGAACTTATTTCAATTGACAAAAAATACTGTTCTAAAAAGCGCATACTGTAATTTTACAGCATCCAGCAGCATAAATTCAACTCAGCACTTAACTGAGCTATAGGTTGCAGAGAATGACATAAATAAAACATATCCCTACCTACTGAAAGCTCACAGTCTGTAGGCGAGGCAGATGTGACTTTTTGCATTTAATATTTTTAGTTACCCTTCTAAAAAGGGATTAAAACTGGCTCACACTTAATCAGAAATACCTTGAATACAAGGGAGATGATGGAAAATATACAAATATGATTAATAAGGAATATAAATTTCATTCCAATTTTAAGACTGGAAAAACTTACAAGTCAGATAGATGGGACTCAAGGATGAGTATGGGTGGAGAGTGACTGAACTCATTTTATCTAGTCTCATCCTTTCCTTTTTATAAGCTCAAGTGTGATTTGGTCAGAATTGGAATATTCTGCCATGGAATAAGGATGGCAATATTGGGTCAGTCAGACTAAGGTTCAAATTATTCCAACTCACTGAGCCTCAGTTTACTTATCGCTAGAAAATGGAGTCCTGGTGTAGCGTCATAGGATAAGCACTTGACCTCAAGGTCAGTTTGGGCCACAAGGTTGGCGGTTCAAACTCACTAGCTACTCCTTGGAAACCCTGTACAGGTTGCTATGAGTCAGAACCGACTTGACGGCACTTAACAGAAAATGATACTGCTTGGTTTGCAGGATTAATGTGGGGATCAAATGAGACAATAGGTGTGAAAGTGCTGTGTAAAATAATGCAGATAAATTTCAACCCTTAGCACAGGCATGAATGAAAGATATGACTGAATGGCCCCAAAGAACAAATTCTTCCTACATTTAATAGTTCCCTTCAGTTCCAAAGACACCTGACTAAGCACTTTTCCTTTCCCCAAATTAAAGACCAGATTTCCTTTCACATCCACTGGGCCTACCCTGTACTGCTGCACCTCCTCATCTCGTTTTTGCCTCACAAGTGTCATCTGGTCCTCCAGATTCCTGTTTTGCAGGTGGAGCTGCTGGGCCTCCGCTTGCAGGGGTCGCAGAGCCTCCTTCATTTCCTGGATCTCAGCCTGGGTTTTCTGTAAAGCTTTGGCCCCAGCTTCTTTCCTCTCCAGGAGTCGAAGCAGTTGAGGCTCATACTCTTCCTCCAGGTCCTGACGGCTTTCTGCCATGAGGTTCTCAAACTGGGCAGAGAGCCGTCGGCTCTCTTGGAGAAAGTGCCCGTCCCTTTGGCTCAGGGGTGCTTCTAGTTGTTGTTGCAACTGCTCCTTCTGCTTCTGATAGGCATCCTTGGTCTGGGCCAGCTCTTCTGCAAGCTGGGATGCCCGTGTAGTCAGTGCTTCCCGGAAATCAGCAAACTGGGCCACGTCCTGCCGGTGGCACTCCAGCTGGTATTGGTAGGCCACACAATCCTTTGTTACCTTGAATAGCTTCTGCTTAACCAGCCGGATCTCCTCCCTCAGCCCATCCCGCTCCAGCTCTGCTTGGGCGTGTAGTTTGTAGGCAGCCAGGATGTCCTGATGGACTTGCTGTACCTCCTGTAAGGCTGGTTCCCGGAGCAACACAAGTTCATGGATGAGCTGATCCCTCTCCTCTTCCAGCTGGGCCACAGCTTGGACACACTCCTGGAAACGCACCTCTAGCAATTCCAGGTCCTCTATGCTCAGGGCCTCCTCTGTGCTAGGGTTGGGTTCAGCTCTGAGGCTCACCTCAGGATTAGAGTTCTCCTCCTCTGTGACCGATTCACCCACATTTTCAATCTGCTCTGGAGTTATATCCTTTGCTGACTTGGGCTCTTCCACAAACTTTTTCTCATCTGGCTTCCCAATCTGTTCCACACACAGTATCTCTTCTAGCTTCATGGGCTCTTCTGTGTACAGTGCCTCATCTGGTTGTGCTGTTTCCTCAATGTACAATGTCTCCTCTGGCTTCTTGATCTCTTCCACAAACAATGTCTCATCAAAGTCTCCTGGGTCTCCCAGGTAGAGAATGTCCTCTAAGTTCACTTTTCCCTCCAAACATAGAGTTGCCTCTGGGTCCAAGGTCTCTGCCTCATTCAAGGATACAGCATTCTCTTCCTGAAGAGGAGACTTGGCCTCCGATTTTGTTTCCCTGCAAGAGAAGTAATATTAAATGAGAGGACAACCACAAACCCTGGATAGTTCATAATTAGACTCACGACACCTCAGGTTCTCAGATCTCAGAGGTCACTAGTGTGCTCCTCATGTTCCCTTGACACAGTCCACTGCTTAGATCCCCTGACAACATCCCCACAGTGTCACTGACAGCTTGTTAGGTGCCATCGAGTCGGTACTGGCTCATAGCAAACCTATGCACAACAGAACAGAACACTGCCTGGTCCTGGGCTAGTCCTTGCTTATATACCTTCAAAGACAGGAGACTCATACCTGAGCTACCACTATTGGTCCTCAGTCTAAGAAAATTCTAATGTTGAGAGAAGATCTGTCATTTTCACCTGTTGGACATGATTCTTCCTTCAAAATCAGATAAACGAATCTCATCTCCATGTATGTTCTTCAAACACTTCAAGGTAATTATCTTGTTTTTTTAATTACTCCATACATGCCAAGGTTTCTAGTGCGTCTTCATTTGGGCCACTTCTTTTTGACTAGGTTCCAGATTGTCACTGCTCCTCAGGGATGGGTTCTGAGCAGTGAAGTCCCTGATAAAGCCAATATTCCCTTTGCATATAGTGCAGCTCCAGCACACACTTGACAAATGTTAACTTTGATTAAAATCCTTAAAGTGTTTTCACACCAAGTGCTTTTAAGTCACATCTTTTGTGCCTGTAAAGCTCCATGTTGTTAAAATTGGCTCATCTTTCTAGCCAATCAAAGGCACTTTGAATTCAGACCCTGTAATTCCAACTAATGAATTTCCTAACACAGTTGTCATCTGCCAGCCTACTAAACTCTATTGGAAGATGCTCTCCTGTTTTGTTGGCCAAGATCCTTCAGTCTTATTTCCAATGTATTGTATCTACCTTTGATCTCTGAGCAATTCTTTGAATGTATAAAATACTATGGGGGAAAAATTGGACTTATAAAGGGCTTACTATGTGCCAGCTCTATTCTAAATTATTTACACATATCAACTCACTCAATGCTCTTAACAATTCTATGAGGTAGTATTAGCCTCATTTTACAAATTGGGAAACTGAGACTAGGTGAGATTATGTAATTTGCTCAAGGAAACTATGATAGTGTACACCAGTTACAAAACAGACTAAGTTTTGAGTATTGCTTTTAAGAACTTTTTTGAAATACAAAGTATAAATGAAAAGCCCATGTAGCAAAGAATATATCTGTCTTTAAAAGGTCTGCTGTGTCCAGGTTTTAAGGTTCATCTAACTCCCAAGTCCCAATTTATTTTTATTCTAAAATATTAATCCCATACTATAAGCACTAGAAGAAGACCTCCAATGAGATGGATTGGCCAGGTGGCAGCATTGATGGACTCAAGTGTGGTAACAGTAGTGAGGTTAGCCCAGGATCGGACATTGTTTCGTTCTGCTGTGCATAAGGTCACTATGAGTTGGTGCCAACTCGATGGCACCTAACAACAACAACAAATAAGCACTAGACTGAACCACAACATCTATAGTTCGAGCCCACTAGCCACTCCATTGGATGAGGCTTCTTGCTCCCACAAAAATTTTTAAAGCCTCAAACCCTATCCAGGGTTGCTATGCGTCAGAACTGACTTGGCGGCACTTAACAACATCCTGTAGTACCTTGAGAATTCCTCACTTTCCCTTCTGTATTACATGTTGGCCCTCCAGAAACCTAACAGTGAGGCTTCACAACAGGTCTCAGACATCACTGGCCTCATTTGACCCGGCAGCTATACCAAAACAACCCAACAGCCATCTCATCCATTTATGTTATTTAACCAGAGAGGAACTGATTTTTAGCTGTCATTTCCTGATGTCACTTGGCACTTTAAACTCAACTGCCAAATTATCCCAAATTAGCTTTTTGTCCAAGCTGGCTCCAGCTATATTCTCCAGTTCAGAGAGACACTACTCCAAGTTAACCAGGCAAGAAATCTTTTGACAGCCCCTCTCTCCTCTAGCCAATTTCCTAACAATTGACCTTTCTATCTCAGGAAGTTTCCAATCTCCATCCCCCTCTTCTCTGTTCCACAGCCAGGGCCCTAGTCCAAGTTGTCATGTCGTACCTGCACTTTTGTTCCAGCCTTCTAACAGGTCTCCCTGCCTCTAGTCTCCTTCCTTCTCCCCATCCCAACGTATTCTGTACAGTTCCATGGTTAGCCTGCTAACTTTTGCCATCTGACTCATAGAGAACCCACCATGTGTTGCAGAACAGAGTGATTCCATAGGGTTTTCTTGGCTGTAAATGTTTACAAAACAGATGACCAAATCTTTCATCTGTGGCCTCATGGGTGGGTTCAAACCACTAACCTTTAGGTTAGTTATTATTGTCGAGTTGGTACCGACACATAGTGATCTCTTATGCACACCAGAACTAAATAATGCTCGATCCTGGGTTGCCACGCTTGAGCCCATTGATGCTGCCACTTTGCCAATCCGTCTCGCTGGGGGTCTTCTTCTTTTTCTCTGACCCTCTACCTTACCAAACACGATATCCTTCTCCAGCATTTGGTCCCTCCTGACAATACGTCCTAAGTATATTAGAGACGAAGTTTGGCCATCCTGGCCTCCAAGGAGCACTCTGGCTGCACTTCTTCCAATGCAGACCTGTTTGTTCTTTTGGCAGCCCATGGTACTTTCAACAGTCTCCAACACCATAACTCAAAAACATCAATTTTTCTACAGTCTTCCTTATTCACTGTCCAACTTTCGTATGCATATGAGGTTACTGAAAATACCATGGCTTGGGTCAGGTGCAAGCTTCAAGCTGACATATTTGCTCTTCAACACTTTAAAAAGGTCCTGTGCAGCAGATTTGCCTGATGCAATACGTCGTTTGATTTCTTGACTGCTGCTTCCGTGAGTGTTGATAGTTGATCCAAGAAGAATGAAGTCCTTGACAACTTCAATCTTTTCTCCGTTGATAAGAATGTTGTTTATTGGTCCAGTGGTGAGGAGGAGTTTTGTTTTAGGGCAAACCATTTGTGCCATCCAAGACCTTACAGTATGAAGCTAATCATGTTGCTCTTTGCCTACAAATAACTAAACTGCTTAGCCAAGATTCAAAACTCTTAAAGTTGTAGCCATGGCCCACTTTTTTAGTTTCATCTTACATCACTAGCTACGATCCACCTACTACTTGACATGCATTAACTTTTTACATCTTTCACTCTAGTCCACATGTCTGAGTGTTTCAGCTAATCAGTGCAGCTCTTTTATGCCACCTGACAGTACCTGGGGAGGTAGAACCCCCAGTGCCCAGCTAGCAGACCCACCCAGTACTCAATAGAATCCCTGCTTTCCTAGCAGACAGCACTCCTCTTTGGAGTGACTTCCTGTGCTCAAGGCATGCTTTCTAAGCATTTAACGTGAACAATCATTTATATAGCAAAAAACCACACCAGTTGCTGTCAAATTGATTCCAACTCATGGAAAACCCATGTTTCAGAGTAGCACTGTGCTCCAAAGCAGTGACCTTTCAGAAGAAGACCCTCAAACCTTTCTTCTGAGGGTCTTTAGATAGATTTGAACTGCTGACTGTTTGGTTAGTAATCAAGTGCTTAGCTGTTTGTGCCACCCAGAGAGTCCATCATTTATAGAATATTTATTACCCATCTCTTTTATAGATAAGACCAAAGCACAGCTTAAAGATTGAAGGCTCAACAACTTATAAGTGGTAGAGCCAGAACAAGGCTGGTAGTCCCACTCTAAAGATTGCTGTTAAGTTCTGTGGAGTCGATTCTGACTCACAGCGACACTGTATAGGGTTTCCAAGGAGCAGCTGGTGAGCTTGAACTACCTGATGGAGCGGAGCAACCTATCAGTGCTTGTCCTCTAGAGTAAGCATGTGGGTCAAGGGGTAAAATAACTACGACATGTGTGACAGCACTCAACACCTCCCAACATGGATGAACCTGGAGGATGTTACACAGAGTGAAATTAGTCCATCACAAAAGGACAAATATTGCATGAGATCACTGTTGTAAAAAAGTTAAAAGATTTTCTTACTAAGTCAAACATTCTATGGTGGTTACAGGGCAAGTAGGGGGTCAGGGAGTGGGAAAAACAAAGTGAATAGAGGTCAATATTGTTAATATTTATTATCTAGTTTCCTAACAAATCCCTGGTGGTCAGTGGATTAAGCATTGAGTTGCTAACAGAAAAGTTGGCAGTTTGAACCCACCAGCTACTCCAAGGGAGAAAAATGTGGCAGTCTGCTTCTCTAAAGATTTACAGTCTCAGAAACCCTATAAAGCAGTTCTGTCTTATAGGGTCACTTCACTATAAGTGGACACCAGTGGGTTAACAAATCCCCAGTTATCCTTCAAGCTCCCTCTGAGTTCTCAGGGCATTTTGTATTCAGCTTGACTTCCAGTGCTTTCTGTTAGAGATGTGCATTGGGGGGACTCTCCTGATGGTGAATTTCCTAAGGACAATTGTATTCTCATTCTGCACAGTATCCCAGGGTAGGCCTCTTTAGAAGGCAAGCAGGCAAAAACTGACTGAAATCCAAGGAGGAAACGTGCCCAAGGTCAAGTGGCAAAGCTGGAAGTAGAACCCAGGCCTCCTGACTTCCAGGCAGTGCTGTTATCACACATGACTGTTGCCTCAGTTACCACCCACAGTGCCAGGTCCTCTGCCCTCACATAGCCCTCTAAGGAGCTGGGAAAGAAGCCTAGGGGAGAGGAGTCCTGGTGTGGATAAACACTGGACTGCTAACCACATGGTTGGCAGTTCAAATCCACCAGCCACTCCAGGGAAACTCTATCCAGGATTGCTATGAGTAGAATCACTGAATCCACCACACAGCATTTAACAACAACAGGGGACAGGGAGTGAGCTCAGCTGGGCCCCTGACCTCAGATTCCCTTGGTCCCCAGCAGGTGTGCCTGCACCATTCTGTTCCTGTCCCTGGCATACTCTTACAGATTCCCACCCTGTTCATCAGGGTTACGGCTCCATGTGTACCTGTTTGCATGTACGACAGGACAGTTCCCCGGTGAGCTTCTGTGTGTAAGGCTGTGTGCTCAGCCTTGTGTGTGACTGTGAAGGATCCTGTATGTGTGTGGGGTGTGTGTGTGTGTGTGTATTTATATCTGCCTCTTAGTTCAGAGTCCCAGGGCCACACAGTCTGAGTAGGGGTCACAATATTCCCCACAAACCCCTCTGCCACAGGTCCCTTCCCTCTGACCAGCAGTAAGCCGACAGTTGATGGATGGAGAAGGCCTCCCCTGCAGAGCCCCTGCCCAGCCAGAGCCCCAGTCTTGGACAGCAGTCCTCCCCTCTGACCATTTTGAGCCCTGGCAGGAGAAAGCAAGCTGTGCGTGAACAGACTCTTAACTTCAAGCTGGCCCAGACCCAACCTTGCACCAAGTGGCTTCCCACAGCTGAATTCAGCCACCAGAGATCTCCATTCCAGTTGATATTTTGGGAGAGAAAGAACAGAAAATGAGATTGTCTTAGGACATTATGTGCCGAATAGCATTTGTCTGAATAGTTGATGTCCACTGGCCAGACAGGGTTAATTTTCACACAGTCCAGGGGAAGGGAAGAGTTTTATAGAAATTAAGACTAATTGAGATACCAGGACCCTGACTTAGATACTCCCATTTGCCGGTCACTGAGATGACTCTGTCCCTTGCCCCTTGTCCAGCCCTGCTGGACCACTACCCACTGGCCAGGCACTAGATAGTCACGCGAGGGGGAAGGGAATCCGTCCAGCGCCCCCTCCCCAAAAGGGCGGTGGCATGGGCTCTGAATGGTCCTACCTCGAGATCTCAGAGGCGCCGTCCCCGCCGCACCGGGGCTCCGGGCTGGCCATGGCTGCGCGACCCAGGGCTCGGCGGCTGCGTTATTAATAGACGGCCCCACGGGCCGCTCGCTCCGGCGCCAGCCCGCCGCACTGTCAGCTGCAGCCGACACCGGATCCCGGCCGCCGGAGCCGGGCGCACCCACTTGGCCCTGGCTCCAGCGGGGGTGGCAGGGAGGGAGCCGGCCCCGCGGCCCGGGGGGCGGGGAGAGGCCGCCCATCCCAGAACCAGCCCGAGTGGGGGTGGGGGCAGTCTAACGGCCTTTCCAAAACCATCCAGCCCTGAGATCTTCCCGAACCTTCTTTCTCTCCGCCCTTCCCGACCGAGGATCCCGGCATGGGATGGGAGTGGTGGGGGGCAGGGGAAATTTTGCAGCCCCAGCAAAGCCCCTTCCTTTGTCTGGCCGCCCGTAGCAACAGAATTTGGGGGACCAAGAAGGACCGAACACCCTAGCCTGCAATTGTTCCGGAATGTCCGCCCCAGCGCGACGGCCCTCCGATCCCCACCCGCGTTGCGGGGAGAGCGCGCCAGAAGCCACCCTCCGCTCCCGGGGCACAGCGGCCGCAGCTGTCGTGAAGGGGTGGGACGGGGTGGGGCAGGGCGTGCGCTGGGAGGAGGGTACACTGCCACATCCCATGCGTTCCGGGGACAGTCTGGGGCCAGGGTGCTTGGGGGCCTGTGGCGGGGGTTAGGTCAGGGCGGTGGGAGGACTGCCTGGGAGGGATTTAAGTCAGTAAGGTTGAGTCCATATTTAACTTTCCACCACCACCACCTCCTTCAGCGGTTTCCCCTTGCTCCACCTGTCACCCCTACCCATCCCTCCCCCAGGGCCTCAGCCCATCAATGTCAAGATGAGACTGTCACAGTGAAGTCGTCCAACGCAGGAGAGGAACTACTGGACTCCTTCCCCCGCTAGCCTGAGCTTTCTCCCTTCTGATTCCTTTTTTCCAGTTGACTCAACCACAGAAGAAAGCGGTGCATTGTAACAAGCTGGAGGGACCAGAGTGGTTCCGATGATTCCTGTAATCCGAGTCCTTGAGCTCTTGGGTAGGGAGGGTAGTAGCGTGACTGGGTTCTATGTGCTGGGTGGGCCTTGTGTGTTGTGAGCCATGTGCCTACAGTGGGTTACATGATCATGGCTGTGTCTGTATACGGTCATGACAGTGGGTTTGGTATGAGAAGGGGGAAATGAGTGGGGTTGTGTGATAATTGGGGGACTATGTTTGTGTGTGAGCAAATGTGTATGTGATTATGTGAGTGTGTGTGTGTGGTTGTGATTGTTGTGACCATGTTTGGGCCATGTCAGTGATTTGATGATCATAGGATAAGAACTTGTTGGTGACTGTGCCCCTTGTTGTTGTGTAGGTTATAGTCATGTGTGTGTACCAGGGCTTCAAAAAATTAGTGGAAATTTTTCATTATTTCTCAATTCCATGATTCATGAACATTTTGAAGCCTGCTTGTCTGATGGCTGAATGACTATGTGTTGATGACTTTGCCCCTTGTTGAGTGTCTTTGTGTGTGTGTGTTGTGACTAAATTTACAGGACATGTACGAGGATAAGTAAAAAAAAAATATTACTACTAGGGTTTCAGTTCATACATGCATGGGTTTACTCCAAACAAAATGTGTTTAACATGTCTCTGCCATGAGTGGATGGCTGCAGACAAGTTCTTTCAGTAATACATTCGCCTTAGTCTTCTTTGTCGTTGTTGTTGGTGTTAAGTGCCGTCAAGTCATTTCTGGACCTTAAAAAAAAGTCCAATTGGCTATCCAAAATGCGGGGAGGGAGATACAAAGACAAGAAGTGACTGGCTTACAAGCTTTCAAGAGGGAGCCTCGATCCAGAGGGCATGGAGGAAGGTAGAATCTCCACTGAGAAGGATCTAATCTTTCGGGCCTGGGCTGATGAAAGGAGATGGAAATAAGACTCTTGTGGTACAATAGTGAATAATTGCTATCGGGACTGACTGTGAGGGTTGGAAATGTAGCAAAAGGAGGGAGTGGTTGACTTTGCAGCCCAGGATCAGAGGTCCCTGGGACCATCAAGGGGGAAGAGCGGAGTGCGGGACACTACCCACAGAAACAGTGACACCTGAGATGGAGGCAAAGATGATGACATGGAGAGACTGAGCAGCTGGGGACTTTAGACCCAGAGAGGGAGAGGGGCTATGTGCTGACCTAGGGGCAGGATTGCAGGGTATACCCTTTGGTTGTTTGATGATGCATGGAGGGGATTGTAACCATGGCAATGAAACAATATACCATAGGATGAATGTAAAGCTAATGTTCTCCCAAGTAAACTATCACATAATTCACAATAAAACATTAAGGAAAAAAAAAGGGGGAATAGAGGCAAATACTGTTAACCAATGGCAAATGGAGAAGATTGTAATCATTGCAATGAAACAAAATATGATTGGTTGAGTGCAAAACTGGTGTTCTCCCGTGTAAACTATCACTCAATTCACAATAAAAGCTTTAAAGAAAACCAAAAAAAACCAGTAGCTTTCAAAGGGATCTGCTGGACTAGTTAATGCCAGGCAAAGAGGTCAGCTCAGAAGGTTATGGTAATTGTTTGGGGAGTTATTACAATGGAGTCATCTTGATAGGTTGAAAGCTTGAAAGACACAGGAAGATCATGGGGGCTTATTGGGAAGAAGTTCTTAGGAAATGGAAAGCTGTATTGGTGAGAAAAAGACCAAGAAATCTGCACTGATCAATTTTTTCCCACAAGGACAATGCATCTGCTCATTCTTCCTGGATAGCAAAGGTTGTCCTAGGAGAATCTTGTTGGGAAAACTCACCCCATCCACTCTACAGCCTTGATCTTGCCCCATTCGAGTTCTTTTGGTTCTCGAAACTCATGGAACATCTAAACGGAATACGATTTGAGTCCCTCAAGGATGTCAAAAGTGCCATTTTGATATGGTGCAAATCAGAGAGTGCAGAATTCCTTGGCGAAGGGTTAGAGAGATGGAAACGTTGCCTTCAGAAGCATAGAGACCTAGAGGAAGGATAGGTTGAGAAACAATAGCTTCACTCTCTGATATTTTCATTTAATAAAGAGTTCTATGATTTTGTAGCACTACTTTTTTACTTACCCTCATATATGGTCAATTGGGTGTTTGTGAGTGACTGAGAGCTGGCATGTGTGAGTACGTGGAGAGGTGTGTGCGTGTTCATTAATCTATGAGCTCACCTCTGAGTATGCTGCCTTGGCTGGGTATTTATATATCTCTCTCTAAAGCAAGGGAGTGGGGGATTAACACCGAGGCACCCAAGTATACCCTTGTAAGGTATGGATGAGAAAAAGCCGAGTTTTGGAGGCTGCTGGTCATTTTCTGACTTATCCCAGAAATATTCCAGGGGAGGAGGCTGGCAAAGTCTCAGTTACTGCTCACTTGACAGCTACTGCCAGTCAGAGGGAAGCGGTGGGAGCTAGCTAGGGCAAGGCCTGCCAGCAGCAGCTCTGTTTATTGCAGATGCTAGGCAACAGACAGCAGGGGTGGCATTCAGAAGGGCCGTTCCCTCCCCCTCCAACCCTTAGCTAGGAGCTGGACCTGGGCAGCCCCCTAAGACTGAACTCTTTAACCACATTAGGCTAAAACACTACCACCCTGCTCAATTGTTTTTTTGTTTTGTTTTTGCTCCATAGGATTTTCAGTGGCTGATATTCCCAAAGGAAAGGGATAAATCAAAAAGTATTGTTGAAACATCATAGAAACCTTTATTAAACAAAATTGTAAGGGATGTATCAAAATGTGAAGCTATTGTTTCTGGACAGATCCTTCATGTGAGTCTCTACACTTCTGAAGGCAGTATCTCCATCTCTCTAACCCTTCCCTGAAGAATTCTGTTTAGGCATCCTCAAGGAACTCAAATCTTGTTCTTTTAAAGCTAGTCACTGAGTTTTGGGAACATAAAGAGGTAAGATCGGGGCTGTAGGGCAAGAGGGGACAAGGTTTCTCAATGAAAATCTCCTAGGACAGCCCTTGGCTATCCTGGAAGAATGAGCAGGTGCTCACTGCAAATTTCCAGGTCTTTTTTTTAAGAGTTTTCCATTTTCTTAGAACTTCTTCATAAAGCCTCCATGATTGCCCTGTGTCCTTAGAAAAATCTATCAAGATGACCCCTTTAGGGTCCCCACAGGATCTGAGCAGATCCCCTCAGGGGTCACTATTTTGTTTGGACTTTTTTCTTTTTTTAGTACTATAAATAGTCTTAAGACAAGTGTGTTACTGAGAGAACTTGTCTGTAGCCATCCACATTCATGGCAGAGACATGTTTAAACATGTCTTATTTAGAATAAACCCAAGCAGGCATGAACTGTAATCCTAGTAGCAATACTTTGTGACTTGCCCTCAGTTTGCCAGAACTTCTTTTCAAGACACCTCTGAGTGGATTCATACCTTCATGAGCACATTAACCAGGTACATCACTTAGGGGCCCCACCGAATTTCCCAGGGTCCCAGAAACCCCTTCACCTCCATGTCTTTGTTTCTGCTGTTCCCTCTACCTAGAATGTCCTTTCCAGGTCTTCACATCCTGGCTTCTAGTCTCCTTATTCCCCTTCAGGTCTCAGCTCAAATGTCTCCTCCTCAGAGAGGCCTTCCCTGATGCCTTCATTCTCGCCATTACAGAGTAAGCGTCCAACTTTTTCCTGCTTATCCATCTCCTTGTTTATTTTATTTAGATTTTAGCACAATCTGCAGTATATTATTTATTTTAAATTCTTCCATTCTCTGTTTTCTCAACTAGAATGGGAGCTTCAGAGAGGCATGGACTCTGTATCTTGTTCACTGCTATCTGTGTCCTCAGGGCCCACACGGGGCCTGGACATAGTTACAACAACAACTGCAACCCTGTAGGGCAGAATACAACTGTCCCATTAAGATTTTCAAGGCTGTAGATCCTCTTCTCTCTCTCTTTCTTTCTTTCTTCCTTGTTGTAACTTTTTATTGTGAATGGGTGAAGGTTCACAGAGTAGGTTGGTTTTACATTCAACAAT